AGTATTCTCAGAATTCTGGATTAAAAGATCGTCATACTGCGTCATCCACGTGACTTCATTATGACTGGTCAATTGCTTCGTTGACAATGTGATTCTAGAATATCAAAGATTAGAAAATATTTTTCACACTATATTTTATATATTTTCTTAATCAAAAGCATCAGTCTTAATTAAAAATTAACTCTTATTTTAACTATAATAAGTTAAAATTTTAAAAATTATAAACTAATAAAATAAATAAATCTAAGATAAAAAAATGTCATTTCAAAAAAAATCATATTATAACTAAATATGCTTTAAGCTCATCAAAAAAAAAGAAAATATATTTTATTTAAGAAAATTATTATGTATTATTACTGGTATTCAACATTAGTATTATGTGATTTCTATATATTTTAAGGACAGAATTTTTTTTAAGTGTAAAATCATATTCATCATATGTTATTTATCACATCTATAATTTTGGCCAAAATTTATAATTCTAGTTAAAATGCCTTTTTAGGATACTAGATAATGTTGTACAAATCCAAAAGAAAATTTTAAAAATTCAAATAGGATTACATAAATATCAAAAAAGGAAATTTGCGTCACTGGTGCTGTGTCAGGTTTGTGACGCAGCGGTGATTAATAACATGTGATGAATAGGATTTAGACCACTTAAGTTGCTGAGATAAATATAAAAAATGCATCGTGACAATCACGTGATCAAGTGACAGTTAACCATCATATCCATAGCAACAGCCACATTCATTTATAAACTGCGCCACCAACCTGGCACAGATTTCTGACATGCCTGATCACCAGTGGTGGTAAATAATAAATTTCTTTGCTCATTCGTGGCGTGGAAATTGAACAAAAAAAAATACTGGCTAGTTTTATATTATATTTTAAAAGGATTGAAATCGAACGTTACACAATATAAAAAAGATCGACATTTGATTGGAATTTTTATTAATCATAAAACAAGTCATAATCCTGTTTTACTTTTTTGCTTTTTACAACTGCTATCGTTTCAAGTTAAGGCTAGTTGCTGTTTTGATCATTGTATTGATCATTGTAAACCATTATTGTAAAACCTTCTGTAATTCTTTTCGAAGCTGAACGTCAGGTGGTCGTAAGTAGATTTTTACTAAATCGAAAACATGTATTCCCTAGATTTACAATACCCATTTTTGTTGTATTCGACATGGCATGGTTAATTTTTAAATAAAATTAAGAAATGAGTAAATTCATCAAGATGTGGCCGAATTATTGTTTACGCAATTTTTTTGAATTTATGGATGATCGGCCTGTGCGAAATGAAGAAATTTGATATGATTTAATTATCTTAATAAATTTTTTTTTTCCTACCTTAATTCACCGAAATATTTATACGAAACCAAAATTATGATAAGACAATTGAAATTTCTTCCTCGTCAAATTATTAATAAGATCATATAAAAAAAATCCGACTGAAATCTTTTCCGTTTGTGATCCACTTGAGCTTATTAATTATGCAACATTATTATCGGAACATGACCTAAAAAAAAAAATAGATTTCGTAACCCACCTTCCAATTGAACGTGTAAGTATATACGAAAAATTCGATTTTATTACAATAGTAGCCATATTTTGAATTTTGAATTTTAAAGTTATTTCTACCATAGAGTTTAAAAAGAAATCATCTAAATATTCAAGGCACTCCATGATCCAGCGACCCTCGTATAAGAATTTTACATAGGGCTGCAATATTCTTTTAACCCAGCATTTGCACGTTTCTTTGATATTCATTTTCTCCAACTTTTTTAAAGATAGCTGCTGTATAACAGTCTGAAAAACTGACAATGTAGTTTTTAAGGTTCGTCATATGACGCGCGACAATTAGGTCGTTAGGTTCGTCAAAAATCTCGAGATTAGGTGAGATAGTAAATCTGTTCCCGATACGGTCGAGGAAGTCTTTTTCCTCCTGAGAAAATGAATTGAGGAGCTGGTCAGGGTTAATTGTCGGAGCCTTTCTGCATTTTGAAAATACCGCGATCATATTATTTAATGAGTCTTCGCCAAGGAAGTTGATAATTTGATTGATAGTTTCTCTCTGTTCATTGGTAAAACGTGTAGTCTCTAAGCGGGAAAGCTTCTGTTCAGTCATTTGAAAAACACTGTGAAGGATGCTGATATTTACACACCTATAACAAATACAACGGCCTGAATTCCATCTGCGCATTTCGATATTTCTCGGGTAATCTCCTTCAATATTTCTTGATTCGTTATGTTGGTGTCAAAAAAATCCGTGTGTATCAACAACATTGAACGTTTTCTCGTTTATTTCGATCAGGGAAGTTTGGCATACTTGAGTTAATGATGCTTTTAAAAATTTCCAATTTCATTTATTTATTTTTTTTTAAAAGAAAAAAAAAAAAAAACTAAACTACCTACAGCTGAATCCGAGACAACAAATTCATTTTTACCCAAAAGTAAATTTCCTAAAGTACTTTTACCAGCACCTTAATTTTTTAAAAAAAAGATACAGTAAAATTATGTAATGTATACAAGTTTATCTAATACATACAATCATGATATTACCAGTTTTTCCTATCAACAGTATAGCTCAAAAATTGTATATTATTTAATAATTAAACGATTATCAAATGATCATCCACGCGATTTTACACGTCATGCTGAAAATTACAACATTTCATTATTTCTTTTTCTATTACATAAACCGGGATCTTAAATTAACGAGCCGAAGCCAAACTGAAACCCGTTAATATTTCGATTTATAGATAATTTGATAGTAAACCCAATAAAATTATTCTTTCAATTCTTTTATTATTATTCAAAACATTATGACAATGGAACTTCGCAGCCGAATGTTGACGAATCCTTATTCCAAGGCACCAACAATTTTATTAATTGGTAAAACAGGTGAGAAACTTACGTTCAAAATCCAAAGACAAAACTCGTATTAAAAATTATTTAATTAGGTTCCGGTAAAAGCACGTTTGCAAATCTGATCTTTGAAGAAGAAGAAAAGTTTTTAACATCGGATAGTTCGGTAAGAAACTGCAGTATATTGATTTCCGATCAATTGTTCGATATTGATAGTCGGAATTTTAGGCTTCTTGTACTCAGATTTGTCAAAGTGCTCTAATCAGCCTGGATAATAAAGAATATAATGTTGTCGATACTCCAGGTATTTTTGATACACATAAACCTGATGATGAGATCATGAATGAAATTGCACAATCAATTGTCCAGAGCTGTAATGGTATCGTAGCGATTTTGTACGTTATAGGTAAGCGCTTTTAAATAAGTAAAATATTCCGAAATTGAAAGTTTTATGAACGAATAACTTGTTGACCAAATTTTCAAGCGTGGGGCAGATATACAACTCAACAACATAATATAACTGAAAAGGTCATGGAATTCCTTGGTGAAGAAGAATCTTACCGCCATTTAATTATAATTTTTACCCATTGTAGAAAAAAACAAACTGAAGACCGACGTAGACTGGAAAAAGATATCAGTGATAATGAAATCCTTAAAACATTTATGAATAAAGTCAGCAACCGTTGGATCATCTCGCCAAATTTAGAAATCTTTAGCGAACCCCACAATCAAATTGTAAAAGGACATATGGATAACCTAAAGAATTATATTAAGTTAATGCCAAAGCCTTATACTACAACCTTATTTGAAAATGTTAGAATTGCACGTGAGGAAAAATTACAAGAGATTGAAGCACGTTCTAAAGAACTACTCGAGGAAGATCAATCAAGGATAGACCGCGAAAAAAGAGATGCTGGAACGGATACAGCCATGGCTGAAATCAAGAAGCAGGGCGGAGCATGTTTTTCTCTGTGCTCCAAGGTTATTCTTGTAGATAGCAAAAGAATCGAAATGTCGCAATTGAGCATCGGTGATACAGTTTGTTGTGGTGAAGAAAATGGCGAATTGATTTTTAGCGAGATATATGCAATTGTTCATGCCGATAATCAGACCATAACTCAATATCAACGGATCAATTATTTAAAGGCAGATGGCACAGAAGGTAATAAATAAATTTAACATTCTGTTATTTATCTAAACGCCCTCTAATAATGTGTCCTCTTATAGGAATTCTGCGTCTCACTCCAAAACACCACCTATTCAATTCCCAGGGAAAAACAATTTTCGCTGAAGATGTCCGGGCTTCCGTAACCGAACTTTTACTTTTCGATGGCAAGAAACTTACTCCTGTGATTCCACATCGCGTTACAAAGGTATTTTTTATTTATTTTATTTTATTTTTTTTTTTATAGAATCATTCATTTATTTTTACTTTGATCAATTTAAGGAATGGGGATTCGGCTACATTGCTCCATTTACACAAAATGGCAAGATTGTTGTTGATGAAATACTTTGCTCTTGTTACGCTGTTGCTCCGCCTTATCAAGATATTATCAATTTCGTAATAATTCCTTTTCGACTCTACTCGTGGGTTATGCCTATCGTTGTTTGTAAAAAAGAAATTCATCCCTATCTCGTTTTTTTGAAACGCGGTCAATGGATTCTTGAACAAATAGATTACTTTAACACAATGATTAAAGGATCATATTGAATTATTTTTTAGTTTCATCTCATTAGATAATGTATAAATAAATATCAACTATTTCTTTTTGTTTTAAGTGATCTTTAATTTTTGTGTACGACCGATTCAGTTGACGCACCATATACGATACGATATTCGATATATATAATTTGTCATGAATAATATATTTGCATTGTTTTAAGTTTTCATGATTATTTTAGGAAGCCATTTACTTTATTAAAAAAATCCGGCATTTAAAATTTTTAAAATGTCCACTTTATAATTCGAGATTTTTATTTGGCATTTTAGTTTTTGATGTTATTAGATTAAAATGCATTAAGCTCTTAATTTTAGTTAAAATTTTCTCGGAACCTGATTTTCCTAGAAATCCTCCCAAATTGGAAATATATGCAAAACGAAATGTCTCTATATTATTTTACACGACACCTGATTTCATATAACATTTGATTATATATAATGGTGGTTTGACAAAATTTATAAATGAGGTCCTGCTAAGCCACTGTAAATTCGGTGTAACAAATTAAATATAAATGGTGATTTTTATTGTTAGAGTAAGCAAAGGACTATATAAGTCTGTGCCCGGTGTCTGTTTGTCCGCTCAAAATTTGAGTCGCTCTGGACTTAACAATGGTTTCGAAACTGTTTCCTAGTAATAGTAGGGGTATTCAAAATTGGTTGATGCGGATTTTGATGCAAATTTCAAGAAATATGATTGGCTGAAATTTATATCTGATTTTGCATCAAATGCAAATTTTTAACGGCCCAAGTAGCCAATCACAAAATGTTTACTTAATCAATTCGAAATATGCATCGATTTTATGCACTAAAAAAATAATAATTGATTGGTTAATCACAAGTGCCAATTTTGAATACCCCTAGTATAATACTAGGGAATGGTTTCGGAAACCATTGTTAAGCCCGGAACGACCTTAAATAAAAAAATATTGCAAAAACCAATCAGCATCGACTCAATTACTAATAACATGTGGCTAGTATATGAAAAGTCCTTCGCTTCGCTCCGGACTAATAAGATAGATTAAAGAAAAAAATTAAAAAAAATGAGAGCGCGTAGACACAAAATCAATACGGGCATGCCATAGCCCAAGGCCAGATAAGCCAGTTCTCGAAGAAAACCAGAACTAAGATAAGGAAAATTAAAATTTAATACTTTTCTGTTTAAGTAAATTGTCTAAGGCTCGCCATGATACCTGAACCTGTTCTAAACGATGAGCCAAGTCTTTGTTTTGGCTTTTATATCCTTCTAAATTCTTATTGGAAGTCTCTAACTTATTTCGAACAGCATTATATTTTTCATACCATTTATTTAACTCTGAAGGAAGACCGGAAAGTCTCCAAATCCTCAACTAAAAACTGAATTTCATTTCCTAATTCAACAATTAAAGAAACAGCAGTAGATAACTGTTTTCTAAGCTTTGAGCTTCATCCCTTGTTTGCAACTTCGGATTCTAAGTTTCGAATATGCTCTCTTTGTCTTCGGGCAAAAATCATCGATGAATACGGCCCATTGTAAAAAAAAAAAAAAAAAAAACGTGAGAAAAACGAAATTGCAGATTAATAGTCTAAAAATATGTTACATAAATTTCCTTTTTTGAAAAAATATAAAATCACGTGATACGTATTTGTACGCTTATAACGGTTTCCGTTTTCTAAAAATCAATTCATTTTCTTCATTTTTGTTTGGAATCTCATATTTCAATTATAATTTTGATATTTTAATTTCAATTAATAAAATTTTGAATTCTCACTTTATTTCAATAATTGTAATTAAGTTTATCGTGTTATCAATAGTATTTAACAAATAAAACCAAACCATATGATACTATAATAAAGTTAGTAATAAACAATTTTCTTATTATTAAAGTTAATTGGCATTTTTTTTCCTTAGACCCATCGTTACGAAATTTTATAATTTTTTAGTTTCAATCCAATAGAAAACTTTGCAGATTTGATGTGGTTTCGAGGATTCATTTCTAGCCCTACCTTCAGCAATGTTTTTGAAATGGATTTCTCAGTTAGGACTACTCGAGCACGATCCTGGTATGTTGTATTCTATAATTCTGACAATTTTTACCTTAAATTAAAATTTTGTTGAATCTGCAAACTTTTAGATACCAATGTTCTTGCAAAATTTCCGTTAAATGTTAGAAAAATACTAATATCAGAAATAACACAAACGCTGTTATCCGCACATGATCCAAATCTTTTATCATCGACAACACATGTAAAATGGGTCATGGAGGCAGTTGGTCAGGGATTTGCATTACCATTGGAAGAGATGGCGATAACATCAAATTCTAAAGAACTTTATTCACAATGGTTATTTGAACCTAATTTTAGACCTGCTGCGATTAGAAACGCGACGGGACGTCAAGAGGAACAAGAATTCTGGCAGGTTTGGAATTTATATATTAAATAAATGAATATCGCATTATTAGAATAATTAATTGATGAGAAAAAATTTTTTTATAGACAATTTTTCATCATTATTCACTGTTGTATCAACCTCGTCTTCCTAGTTCAAGTGTGTCATCCGTATCATCGACACCGACAACACCAGGATTTCCTGCTTCAGCAAATCTATCATCATCAAATTTCACGGTTTTGCAGCGTCATATTGAATTATGTAAAGGTGTTTTGATCGTGTTAACTATGGCTGGCCGTACATTAGGCTCTCAATTTTCAGAAGAAACTTGGCTTGTACTTTTAAAAGTAGTTTTAGGAATCACGGATGGTTTATTACGAGAACCATTAGGAACAACAATTCCAGAGGGAAATCTTGAGAAAAAAACAGCTGCTAACATGGCAGATGAATTATGTGAACATTTATTGAGAGTACTTTTCGAATTATGGTTAAGATCTAAAATTCGAAATGTTGAAATGTGGGACATATTTAAAAGGTGCTTTAATAAATGGACTCACAGACAACCGCCATTATCACAATGGGATGCAGCAACTCTAGCTCTAACACAACGAGTTATAAGATTATTATATGGACCAAAGGGAGGTGCAGACATGGTGAATATTTCAGTTGGTGGCTATAATGTGGGATTGGACCTTCCAACAGATTTTGTATACTTTGCTTGGTATAGGATGGTTTATTTAATAAGTAATCCATGCATATTACCATCAGCAAATTTTACTTTAGCACTTTCTGGAATTGGAAAAATTATTGAATCCTTTCAAAAAGTTGGACAAACATATGATCAGAAATCTGCTCAAAACGACGCTGAAGGTTCTCTTATGTCAATACCTGATGGTAATACATTATTGCGCATGTTTGGATCTTGGTTATTTCAGGCATGCTCAATAAATCGTGCAGACTCGGATGTTAAACAGGGGAGAGCAGAAGCTTATGGTATTCTCTGTAAAATATTTTGTCTACCTCAACGCAGAGAAAAGTTCTTGAGACATTATATTACCCAATTCTATCGAGCTTTGACGGAAGGTTTACGTACAGATAGCTGCTTACCGGTTATTTTGACGAACACAACTTCACTTTTTGCTACAGAACTTGAGGGTGTCAGAATGATGGTTCCTGATTTTGTTGTTGGCATTAAAATGATTTTACCAAGGTTGGCACCTGGCTTTGAAACCGATATACCTTTGGATGAGTTGAGACTTGCGGCAATAAAAGTTGCAAGTACGATTATGTGTTTGCCTAATCACTTTGAAAAAGTTTCTTTAAGGGAAAACTGGAATGTGGGGTTACATCATAACGGAGATAAGCTCGTTAATAATGACCCTGACGAGATTGTTATCAATGAACTTGTAAGTTGTGTTATTCTATTTATAGGAAAATTTCGATTATACTGACACTTAAATTATATTTTTATGAGAACAGATACGAGTTTTATATTCTGAAGAAGATGACACAAATGATAAGAATTTGACAGAACCATTTACAACCGTAAGCCGATTAATTATATGCATAATTTGTAATTAATTATAAAATTTTCTAAATAATACATTCTCCCCTTTTTTATTCCAGCTTAAATTTTATATACTTGAGTTACTTTTGACATCTCTCAAAACCGAGAAATCATCTTATAATCTCAGATATCTTCTTCACTTAATTAATGTATATGTGGCAGAGGATGTCGCATTTTGCCCAGGTTTGGTTGGACTTGTAGTAAAATCAATTCAAGAAAAGGTTATATATTTATGCATTTTTCTTTTTTTTTAAAAAACAATAACTTTTATTTACCCTTGTTATTTTCATATAAAAGATACTTACTATGAATCTTCCATGGGATGTTACCTTATATGCTTTTGATGTATTAAAAGATTTTGTGAGTTTGTATGAATATGTTCAGAGGGATAGTAAGGTAAAACAATTTTGTAACAGTATTATTATGTTTGTAACATAATTTAATGTATCAAATGTTGATATTTAATAGAACTGTGCAAGAGAATTAGTTCTTGCTTTCTCGCGTTATATTGACATGATGCTCTCGGGAAGTGGTGGAGGATTAGTAAGTAGGACGACTTCATAAAAAAAAATTTTTTTTTAGTTCTTTTAAAACAACCATCTAAATTTATCACGTGTATCTTTAGCCTGTGACGTATCATCTAGTTGAACGTGCATATGACTGTATGATGCGCTGGATTCTTATTGGACAATGGATAGTCGGTGACCGTGATTGTCACGAAGCTGTCATAGCGACAATCAGTCGAGGAATTTCCATAACTCCTAATAATGATGATGAATCTTCACAGTCAAATTCTCCGACTGATAAGAAAAAGAATCGTAGAGACACAGCTCCAAATAAGCTATTTTCTCCTCGAGCAAATAAGAACATCGTCACTAATAATGAAAATACTTCACATAATGGCCAAAATCGATATGGAAAGAAAGGTGAAGTTGCTGTAAAGATTGCTGCCGAAATAGCAATGGCACAATTCGTCAATCACCTTGGAAACTTCCCCGCATGGGGTGATAATATAGGTCCAAGCAGGATATCCACTCTGTTTAATGATGATTTGGTATTGGCAAGATCACAAATTTCTGATGCTAGAGATTTTGATGGATTATCAATACCTGAACTAGTTAAGTACTTTTTAATTGATGGTAGGGTTTTGGTTGGATTTGTGGAAGTTCCTAAGCATCCTGTATGGACCGCTGGGGGGGACACAAGGACGCCAGGTTCTCCAGGATCACCTGATACATATTCTACACCAACTGCCACAGAAACTCCAGCATCACCTGTTTCTCCAGGCACACCCAGAGCATCGATGCCACAATCTTACCTTCCAGACAAGTCAAATGAGGCTGATTCTAACCCCTCAGTAATTATAGTCATGCGTGATAGTACGGGGAAATACTCTTGGACTGCTCGTATGGTTTATAAAGTTCAGACTGATGATGATCATGATCAAAAGAATCCATCATCAAGTACAATAGATAAAGACAATTATGATAGGTTATTACAGTCAACTTTACCATCCGTTCCATTTCCTCATACAGATACCACACAACAGACTTACCAGGATAATGATTTTCGTGTAAATGTTCCTCGTATCGTAAGTTTTAATGAACATCAAATACCAAAAGTTGACAAAATATTTGAAGAAGGAAGTGATAGTTGGAGAGCTTATAATGCTGTCAAAAAACTTACACAGAGACAAAAAGAGGAAGAAGAACGAGCATTGGAAGAAAAACAACGTGTAAAAACAAGTCATCAAAGGTAACAGATTGATTTCTTTTTTTATGAATATGATGTTTTCTAGTTTTTGTTCTAATATCTACTTTACAAAATCGTGATTATATTTTAAACTATCTTAAATTTTAAGTTATAAAGCGATTCCTGCCGGATCTAATACGAACTTGGAAAGGTATTTTATTAATAACTGAATTAAAATTGTTATAATATTTGGAATTATTTCATTTATATTTATGTAAACTCAATCTAAATTACAAAACCCAACTTAGTCCGCAAGCATTTCGTTTATTCATGTCACAAATAGGATTGTTGTCTTTAGAAAATCGACATCGTATGATTCCATTACGGATTTCAGAAAAGCTTGTCAAGGATTTGGAAAAATTAGATCAGTTAAACGAGTATGTCGATAAATTCATTTAATAAATACTTTTAATCGTTTATTAACTTATCGCTTTTGTTATCAATAAAATTCATATAATAGACGGGATTGTGTTAGTGCTTCGGTATATTATGTTCGATCAGGAGCGGAAGAATATGATCATATTATAAACCCTCCTGCAATAAGTGAGGATTTTGAAAAGTTTTTGAATAGTTTAGGATGGCCGGTAATTAATACTGTGATTTTTTAATATAAATTAAATGATACGTGAATTTATACTTCATCATTTAAAAACTTTTTAGGTTTCTCTGGATGCACATTCCGGATATCAAGCAAAGCTTAGTTCAGCTTTTTGTAAAACAGCACCATATTTTGCTGATAGAACCGTTGAAGTAATTTTTAATGTTCCTTATTTAATACATACACAGTCACCTGATTCATCAATCGAATCTTTATCGAACATAATTAAAAGTATAACGGTAGATGATTTAGTATGTATTGCATGGGTTGAAGACATAATATCTATGGATGATCTACCCCAAAAGATAGGACAATCTGTTTTAGTATATATATTTGTTCATCCATTACAAAATGCAACTGGGTTATATTGGATAAGAATTGTTACTCCTACACTTGCATATCAAGGTGGTTTAAACGAAAAGAAAGGAGGAAAAGGCAGAGTTAGCTGGAGTGCTGATTCTACAAAATCAGTGGAAAATCCTCTGGTAAGTTAAATATCGTTAAAGAGGATTGATCTGGGAACAATTCTCACTTTTTTTTTATTTTTAGTTATTTGGTCCATTGGTTGATGGTATGATTGTAAGCAGGCATACTTTGGGGCTACTTGTAAGAAATACGACGATATCTGCACATGAATCATGCAAAAATTTCATGGAAACACATAGTAGATCGTATGTGTAATACGTATAATAACAATAATATTTTGATTATAATTATTAATCTGACAATCATTAATTAATAATCATAAAATTTTCTTTTTTTAGATATGCAATGAGAAGACAATTTATTGAAGAAATGTATCATAGATATAAAAGTAGTCTTTCTATTTCAGAGTAAGTATATGTAATTTATAGATTTTGTTTATAATGAAAAAACATTATTTATTATATTATTAACTGATTTATTACTATTTCCAATTAGTTTTTATTCAGAAATATTTTTAACTTAGCAAGTATTTTATAATTCTAAAATTAACCAAAAGAATAATAACCGGTTCTGATTTTTTGGGTTTACCCTCATGATTATAATCATGTTCCTTTTATCTTAAAATCAAATCGAACCGGTGAGTTCTCCCGTAATATTTAAATTTTTATAAAAAAAAAAAAATAAATTAATAAATTAATTTTGTATATAATTCAAATCTCTTGAAAAAAAAAAATTATTTATTAAAAAAAAAAAAAAATTCTTTTAACTATCTATAATTGATTAAATAAAAAGATTAGGCACTATATTATAGTTTTTTCAAGCTTCTTTATATCATCAAATAAATCTAATAAAGTAGCGGAAGACCATGCTTGTGTAGGACATGAATGATGGCATTCTGCTCCATTTGCATTAGTAAGTTCAGGTAACCCGGCAAATGGAGTTGTTTCAATTATTTTACGATGTGGTAAAAGATGTTGCGTTATATCATGAATTGTTTCATGTGGCTATTTTTATAAATTTTAAGACAAAAAAAAAGGTTATAAGATTTAAAAAAAAACAAAAATTACTTTCAAACAATAATATTCAAACTCACACTTTCTTTTCCTTTTCCAACTCGAATGTCAAAGTATAGGTAAGCACGAAGGAAATATCCGGTACACCATAACCACTCCTATAAAAAAAAAAAAAAAAATAATAATCATGATAAATTATCAAGAATCAGAAACTATTAATAATCAAATCAAAAAACCATAGAAAGACACTTACAGGTCCCTGATGATAATTCCAACCTTTAGCAATTGATTTATCGTCACCATCATTATTGTTATCATAGAACCCACGATATGCCCAATCTTTAGGATCCAATGTACGCATGCCCAATGGACCAGCAAGCACTTCACGTGCAATATTCAAGGCTTGTAATGCATGGTGCTGATCAAATAATTCAGGTGCCTAATTTTAAGTTATAAAACAAAAACTAAATTAGGTAAAAATAAAAAAAAATGAAAATTAAAGATTGTGATTTGTAAAAGTTATTACTTACCACTACAAGAGCGACAGGGAAATTTGGTCGTAATTGATAATCTTCATATTCTTTTGAAGCCTTATGTAAATCTTTATATATTCCTCTACGATTTATCAATTTTGTGTTCAGTTTATACTTTGAATCATCGGCAGGATCTAAATTAAGGTGAAATGATTAATAATAATAAAAAAATTTAATCTCGTTATCCAACCTAAACTTACCAATGGGAATGTAAAAACATTTTTCAAATGACTTTTGGATTAAATCATTCCATTCGGCAAATGTGACAAATTTCTTGGATTGATCTTCAACATAAATAAAATAAATAAGTTCCCATTTTTATTTTTATTTTTATTTTTACCATAAAATTTAACCGAAATACCTTGTAATTCCACTCCTTTCCAAGGATAATAACCTTGTTGATTCAATTCAGTAATCCATCTCAAAGTAGATTTCAACAATCCAGTTATCTCAACGGCAGCACCATCTCTAGGCGTTGCAGGTATTCCTTTATTACCGGCTTTTTCAGATTCGCCCATTTTATCCATCCAAGTACCACAATTAAATTCATTACCACCAAATAATAATCCGGTTTCCCAATCTACTTGAATATCAATTTGAAATCCTTTTTCTGTCATGGCATGATCCAAATTGGGACCTGCGTTCCATTCTTTAAAATGAATTCCTTTAGCATGTCTTTCCAAAATTTCTTGCATAATCTCTAATATAGTACTTTCATCTTTATAAGCTAAAGGATCATCTGCTTCAATAAATTCATCATTCTTTGGAAATCTTCGAAGAACAGATGCTTTAAGAAATTCTAATCCTTCAGATGAGAATTTACAGTAATCTTGAATAGATTGAAGAAACCACCATGTAGCATCACGACAGTTATATCTTGGACGACGAGCAGCGTCCAATAAGTTTGGAATTAACCCATGTTTAAGTACACTAGCAAATCCAAGTATATGATCTCTTGCTGCATTATAATTTCCTGTAGTTATAAATAAACCACGTAATGAAATAAAAACATCACGTCCCCAACATCTCATATGCTTAAAAGTAAAATGAGGTAATCCGGCAGCCATTGATGGACCAGTCTTTTTAGGATGAAGACCAGTAGATAACACGGTACCATACACCTGTATAGAACATAATGCAAGTGATTGAATAAACGGTCCACCTTCTTGTACAAAAAGTGATAATTGTTCTAATGCACGTTTAGTAGCAGCTGTATATGCTGTTTTAATAACAAGTGCAAAATATTTAGGTATCAAGAAACTTGGTGCAGTTTTAATTGCATCAAACCTTTCTTTATACCATTGATTTAACTTTTTAAGTCTTGGTGCGATTTCTAAATACCTAAATTATAGGAAGAATCAATATGGTATTAGAAATTTTTTTGTTTTAAAAAAAAAAAGATAACTTTATAGTTAATTAGTAATCCTTATACCTTTCAAGTCGATTTGCTACATAATCTAATGCCCAATGACCTTCACGTAAATTAGAACAAAATGGATGTCCCAAATCATTATGACTCATTATCTTTCTTAATACTGACATGAAACCTTCTAAACCACAATATGGAAGATCTCCATATCCAGGAATATTATAAACACTATGACCAGGTGCAACATCATTTTCTTCGCCAGCACATCGATATAATACAATATTTAAATCAACTAAATCCAATTCTTGAAAAGGTTCTTCAATATCTGATGTCAAAAATTCATCCAAACCATTATGTTGCTTAGATACTGATGTTTTCAATAGCATAACACTACCTAAAGGAAATTCTTTTGGTAAAACAACTTCGGTAAAATGACCATGATTATCAGTATCTTCACGTAAAATCGGTGTATTAAGTGATTTAAGAGAAGCAGGAAATCCATAAAGATAATTTTTGTCTGGAGTAAATTCTTGAGGACGTACATCCAAACATGTAGAAAAAAGCAATTCTGCTTTAGTCCCTCTTAATTTTATAGGAGATACTATTCAAAAAAAAAAAAAAAAAAAAAAAAAAAAAAAAAAACACTATAAATATTTATTATGTGATTAAAGAAATAATATTTATAAATCTACTTACAATCACCATGTTTTATCACTGAATCGGAAAATGCACAGTGTGCAACTAATAAATAACCTTTATGCGTATGAGGATGACATCTATGAACGACAATATACTATATATAATAAAAGAAAATTAACTTATACGAAAAAAAAAAAGCTTTTATAATCAAAGATTATTATACTAACTTCATTTTCATG